TTTATGTCCTGCCTCCAGGTGACTGATACTCACATCATTTTCACCTGGAGGCAGGACATAAAAGCCTGAATTTTGCCTGAAACTCTCAGACTGAAGAAGTCTCTTGGAAGAGAGACGAAACGTTTCATTAAAGAAGAACCCGTCCAGAGGACCTATACAATTTTTTTTTCCTTTGATTTTTTACCTGGATTACTGAGATGCATCAGGACATTCCTTTCTGAAGTTATGACTAAAATTAATTTAAAAAAACGTGTTTTTCCTTCCTGTCCGACTAGACCAAGCTACTTCACGAGTGGGGCCGTCTCCGCCCACATGAAAACATGTACTGCAGAGTAGCACAAACAGCGCTCCTCTATCAGCCTTGGTTACAGCTGTTTAACTGCTCGCTCAAGTGCAGAAAAACTATTGAGTGAAGCCGTCAGCAGCGTGCATGTGTGAATTCACACTGGCGCTGGGAATCTCCATTCTGAGATCTGGTTTCAAGAGGCTTCAGTTGCAGAGAAAGCGGCTGCTGCTGTGCACGAAAAGTCACGGCTGCACATGAAAACAACGTTGCGTTAACTGGACACTATTGTGCTAAAAGTGAATCCACCCAATTCTAACTGCACCTCTTCAACCTCACCAAGACCGTGCAAAGACCATCCATGTTCTGGCTGATTTTTACTACCCTAGCAGGGTGGTCACTCTGTGTGAAGTGGACAGGTTTTACCTGAATACTGAGCCAGAGCTTTCAAACAAGGTTATTGACACATCTTCTACTTTTCTCCTTCCAGAATGTCACGACTTTGTGAACATAAACATTAACGTAAAACAGACTTTGTACATGAAAATCACAACAGAACTTTGAATGTGCACAACGTTTACTCTGTTCAGTTCAAAGTAAACACACACACTGCTGACCTATATGTATTCTGCTTTCTATTTACTCGTTTCTACTGCACGTCTACAAGATATGCTGCGTTAACATGAAGATAAAAACAGATTCGTCCACTCATCTCACTGTGTTGTAAACAAAACAGAGTGTTTATTCAGTTTACGTTTTCCTTCAGGCCCTGCCTGCTGTGTGCTGGATCCACATTAATATGGCTATATACGGCTTCTTTATTGATTTCATGCAGGCTGTCCAATCATTGGTCACTGCAAGCAGCATGGGCTCAGAATAGATGTAAAGTATCATAAAATAAAAAATACATGCTGTCTTTATGCATCAGGAAGCACTGCAAGCTCGATGCACGTTCACTGAGAAGCAGCTGCTCCATATGGATACAGAAACGAGCCATGCAAAAGGCTGACTGTAACACACACACACACACACACACACCTCCCGATCGAGGCCTGCTGCCACAGTGATGATGTCACCAGTCTTGTTGTTAATGGTAAACATGTTGGAAGAGGGACTCTGGGGATTCTGGGAGAGGATCCTGTAACGCAACATTCCATTGGCTGTTTTTGGGTCATCCTTATCCACGGCTGTCACTGTCATCACAAAGGATCCTAAAGGGGGAGACGCACAGCAAGTCAACACCCACATGCATGCGTGTGTGTGTGTGTGTGTGTGTGTGTGTGTGTGTGTGTGTGTGTGTGTGTGTGTGTGTGTGTGTGTG